TGTGAAGTTGTTAATTCTTCGTGATAATCTAATGTCTTATTCTGGTTTCACACAGGTCGACCATCTCATTCAGAGGTCTAAGATTTATGGTCGGCACCCTGACTTCTACTTCTTCGTCCCGCGTGTTTATGATATTTAAGTATGCTTTCCCCGAGACATTTTCCACGATCGTGTCCCCTAGATAGATTCCATAAGTTATCTTCAATTTCGGTACATATCCAATTTTGACATTAGGGTTGCCAACTCTTACATAAAATGACGATTCTGATCTGGGTGGTACTACTATAGTTTCTGGTGACAGAAAAGGTACTTGGATACCGGATACATCTATACATCCTTGTGCATAATCAATTTTCGATGATGTTTGTTTAAAGAAATCGTTGCCTAATATACCAGCTTGCGGTATCGGGAAGTCGTCAGGTACTATATGGAAATTTACTGAGGTGTCGAAAAGGCTTAGCGTAGTTTCGCCAAGAGTAAAGACCGGATAATCGTTTATTCCGTTTAATTTTAGAATGTTACAATAATTAATGCGTACTCCCTCAGGTATAAAATTTTTTTTAATTATATTAGGTCCGGAACCGGTGTCTAACATAAGAGGGACATTATGTGAGGGACTGTTTTTTGTATTTCTACCTGAACGGTCGGCACGCGACTGTGTTTATCGAGGTTTACCGCTACTGAGCGAGCGTTCGGAGCGTTCTTTATTGAGGCGCCGAAGATGTCGACGGGCGTGGAATCCGTTCGGTCCCCTGTTGCACGCCCGGCTTCGAGGGGCCGTTGGAGTTTACCGAGTCTTTTGCCACTCTTCGATTATTACTTGCGATGCGCAATTCACAGTTTTCGAGAAGGTGCCCTTGCGTTTTGCAATATCGGCAAAATGGTGTGTTATTATTGCTTGTAGTTCGATCCATTCTGGATCTGCAATCTCTAGCAGTGTGCCCTGCGTTGTTACAATTTTTGACCTCGTACTCATTCCCGCTAAAGATCGCACTTTTTAAATCCCGGACGAGCCCCCAATTTTTAAGCTCTGTTACGTCCGTGTTCTCGTCAGGAGGAGGAGAACTCGGGTGGACGCACGGAACCTCTCCTTTTCTCGCGGAACGACGTCGTGATGCCGATCCGCGAGTCGAACGCGCGTTGAGAGGGGGCAGGGATCAGGTCAGCGTCAGCGGCGCTATTACCCTTACCTGCGCCCGCGCTATTCGGTGGTCCGTTTTAGGTCAGAGAATCGAATCTCTTTGACCAGGGATGGACCTAGTGCGATCTTCAGGGAGCCGGGAACGGCGCGGGTCAGGTTTAGGAGAAAAAAAACTGTTTACTACCGAATTTTGATCAATTAATTTTAATAAGAAATAATAAACGTGAACTACAATCTTCTGT